ATGATTTGGATCAATATATATAAAAAATGAATGTCTTTACAAACTGATTACAAAACTGTCGCAGTAATCAAGTAAATAAACAGGTCAAACAGACCATCAGTCATCTCTGCGGCTCACCCTCCATCGTGTAGTTATTACGCTAGCCTATTATGCTGCTGCATCAGATCAAAACAGAATTATTATCTATCTGGGTGATAACACACACATATATATATATACCTCCTCTCTCAACTCACAAAACACAAGTTTCAGAAACATTTAGACACCTACAGCTGGAGTATAACTTCGCAACGCCCTTTCTATGATTACATATATCCAAACCCATGCATAATCTTAAAATATCTACCAGATTGGTTTATTTTGATAAATGTCCAACATACCACTGATATCTTCTGAAAGTGTGTGTGTGTGTGTGTGCATGTGTGTGTGTGCCTGCTATAGGTTTTGCTTTGTGTATTTCCAAGTGTCTGTCACATTGTGTACAGAAACAAACATGTTTGGTCGCATAATGAATGCAGGATAACAATTTAAATGATGAGTGAGTCATGTTTAACGCCGCTTTTAACAATATTCCAGTTATATCATGGCATGTCAGCTTAATGTGGGAGGAAAGCCTGAAGTGATGCAGGTCTCAGACATTTAACACTTTGGTGAAACCCACTAGCACGGGTATGGTGCTGGCAAACCTAGAAACATAATCGGGGCAAAGTTTTAAATGATGACTATTTGATATTTATGTATAGTACTGAAGCCCAACCTATTTCCAGCTGTATAGTTAAAGGGGTAGTTTGCCCCATGGTCTGATGCCCTGCCCTGCCTGGGTCTACTCAGGGTCATTGATACTATGGGTGAAACATGTCCCTATCCTTAGGGTCATGCTTAACTGCTAAATTGGTCTCCCTCGTGTCAGTTTTGAGGGACTTGAATTAATTGTGCTGAGACAGTCATACAACTGAAGCCTTGTACCCCTTTAATTGTTTCCTCCATTTGTAGAATTGTCAAAAACACACACCTATCAAGTGCAATATTACTAACGGAACATTATATAACAAATGCTGTAACAAAAGAACACAGAATATAAAGGAATATGTAGAATGATAAATCTGTTCAATCAAACAGCCCATGCTCCAGCACGGCCATACAAAACACAGCCTGGTCAGTAGTTGGGAGGGAGGAGGGAGGAACAGCCTTGTCAGTGGTTAAGAGGGAGAAGGAAGGAACAGCCTTGTCAGTAGTTAGGAGAGAGGGGAACTCAGAACATTCTGGTAAGTGGTTAGGAGGGAGGAACAGCTCGGTATGTAGTTAGGAGAGAGGGGAACTCAGAACATTCTGGTAAGTGGTTAGGAGGGAGGAACAGCTCGGTATGTAGTTAGGAGAGAGGGGAACTCAGAACATTCTGGTAAGTGGTTAGGAGGGAGGAACAGCTCGGTATGTAGTTAGGAGAGAGGGGAACTCAGAACATTCTGGTAAGTGGTTAGGAGGGAGGAACAGCTCGGTATGTAGTTAGGAGAGAGGGGAACTCAGAACATTCTGGTAAGTGGTTAGGAGGGAGGAACAGCTCGGTATGTAGTTAGGAGAGAGGGGAACTCAGAACATTCTGGTAAGTGGTTAGGAGGGAGGAACAGCTCGGTATGTAGTTAGGAGAGAGGGGAACTCAGAACATTCTGGTAAGTGGTTAGGAGGGAGGAACAGCTCGGTATGTAGTTTGGAGAGGGGGGAACTCGGATCAGGTTATAATCTCTTTGGACCAATCTGATATCAAATCTAGTCTTCAATGTAAATACAAAGCATGTCTCTGATTAATCAAGGCAGCTCCAATTTCCAAACTTTCCTCATCTGGACTCAAAGACTCATTACGAAACACACGAGAGCAATGGGTAAAACACAAATCATCATATTTTCATTTTAAAAAAACATCTTGTAAAAATGCATACCATCCAAATGATGTGAATATCATTTAAACAACATCTGACACAGTCACAACTGTCCACTCGATTGCTGCTGAAACATACGCAGGTCGTGGATCCTAAACACTTTGGCTAAACCACGTACACAGGCATATGGAGCTGACATGATCAGAATCGGGCAAAATCTAGGATTATCCTGGCATTCAAGGGACATAACTCTGCAAGTGTAGCATTGTAGACCTCATGGCCACAATGCCTCTTAAACTACAGGACCTGACAACCAAACTGAGTCTGGCTTGAAGTAATCCCACATCACAATAAAGCTTAATAGTTCCAAGATTGCTTCAGGTAACATTTATTTGTTTATTTGTTGTTTAACGCGACATTCAGCAATATTCCAGCTATATGACAGCGGACATAAAATAATTGAGTCTGGACCAGACATTCCAGTGACTAATATTGTGAGCAACAATACATGCCGCCGGGTTCAATGACACACCATCAAGCAAGTCCCTGAGACCACCACCCGAGCCATTTGTTTGTTGTCTTCTATTACACGTCTCTTTACCTTCTACTGACCGACAAGATAAAACAAAACAGTGACACCTGGTTAATCCGAACAAATAACCGAAAGGAATGTCCAGGTCTCCTCAAAAGATATAAGGTAACAATTCCTAGAAATCAGTAGTGAGTGAGTATGGTTTTACGCCGCTTTTAGCAATATTCCAGCAATATCACGGCGGGGGACACCAGAAATGGGCTTCACATATTGTACCCATGTCAGGAATCGAACTCAGGTCTTTAGCGGGACGAGCGAACGCTTTAACCACTAGGCTACCCGACCGCCCCTGGAAATCAGTAAGTGAGGTTGATTTAAAACCATTTCAAACAGTATTCAAGTTAAATAGCAGCAGGTCGACTTCACGAGCAAGAAAGCCTTGAAATACAGGATGTATTAGGAACAGAACCCTCCAGATTAACAGATTAACCCTCCAGGTGTCAGTGTATTGCTGGGGTCCCGGGTGGCGGCGTTAAACCCAACTCACTCACTCACTCAGTGTATTGCTATGGGGCAGGAGACTTGTAAAAATATGTATAGTAATGGTCGGTGGTCTTGTAAAATGTTGAATGCTGGTGTGGCCAGATTTTATTAGCGGTCTGCTAAAGCAAATAATTTAGAGTTATTGCCCTTGTATACATGAACAGGCTTGGTTCAAGAAGTTCCAGGATGGAACAGTATCTTGATGGGTAGCTTACCTCGATACGACAAGAGGGCGATTTGAGGCCTTTTCTAACCAGACTTGTGTCTTATCTGCTTGCCAGGTGTGGATTGGACACCTGTCTGGACTAAACGAATTACTGGCAGATGACAACACGATTCCAGGTTCAAGAAAGAGACAGGCTACCCTGACCACATTCTACGGTGACAAACTTGTGGACATTCATGAGTGCACTGACAGTAGTTATAGGGCCTGTTGCTTATTGCTGCTGAAACCTACTTCACCCATTGTATTGCATGTGTTTATTATATACCTAATCCTGTGGGTTTCAATAAAAATGTGCTGATTAGTGATTAATTTACTGATTCCACAATTTAGTTCCATACCAACTGATTTCTGCACTGACAGTTAGTTTTTAATTTGGAAATAACCTGGCAACAGTGTTTATACTGTAAATGAAGGCGTACTGGTGCTTATGAGACATACCAGCAACAGATATCAGTAGTAATAGCCCTAGACATGACACAATGAAACTAAATTAGTAATTAACAGAATTTTCTTTTTTTATAAAAATTATCCTGAATTCCGTAACGGGTATAAATTCTGACAATCCATGTGCATGAAATCATGATTGCAAAGATGGCTGCAAGATATCTTTGATTGGCAGCAACATACACACCCTGATTTGCTGAAACACTTACAGTGAAAAGAGACACCCCATGGTCCAGCCATGGGGACAGTGACACTGTCATGATCCACATGGCACATACAGTATACATCATTAACAAAAGGAACGAACGCTAATCAGGGATCATATCAAAAGTCTTTGCAGTATTTTCATGCACTTGTTGAAAAATGGTCAGAGAGATGTAATTATCCTCGTTGATCTGATCACTAGGGCATCTCCTTGCTCCAATAACATATGGACAAGAATATTTCACTGTGCACAAGATTAAGTAACAATAATATGTAATTAAATTTTCGTTGTGTTCATTGAAATTCCTGTATTCTGATTAGCTGAATTGGTCACGTGTTATTGCATTCATTTCCCAATGAATGTAAAAAATTAAGCCACGCCCACTGAGGCGCACTACTTTTATTACTTCGGAATGTCGGGGAATCGCAATATTACAGTCGAGGGAATTCCCCTTCTGCTCACGTGTATCGTCATGCACAGGACATTTAGCGACATTCATGCATACTCATTGTCCAATCAAACCTTTGAAACCCAAGGCCGAGAATGAATGAAACAGCAAATGTGCAGGCTTGCTCGCCTGTTTTTTATCTGCTCGCCTAGCATTTTTCCAACTGTGTTTTACCGTAATCAGGGAAGTAATGTTTGAATCTGGCGGTAACTGACCATGTAATTTGAAACCGCCGCCTTCTCCCGGACATATTTCTTCCAGTTCGTTACAGTCTGACTGTTGCAGTTCTTTTCGCCTCTTGTCTTAATTGACAGGTCCAATGAACATTGTTTTGATCCTGCTCTCCGTTGATTGGCTACTGACTGTGTAGGCGTGTCAAGTTATGTGCATAAATTAAACGATCGCCTGATTCATGTCACGCCACAGTATGTATTCCTACACTTGGAATGTTTATCAATCTCGTCATTTTTGTCTGTTTTGATATATATAACTGTTTTTGGTTAAACTATTGTAGACAGAACATGTTGTCGAATTTAATTATAAGCATTGACTGTATTTTTTTCGGTTCATTGAGGTATGAATAAAAAAAACAATGTGCAAACTTTTGTAAGAATCCGCTACACGGATTCATACAGTTTGCACATTGGTTTTTAGATTCATACCTCAATGAACCGAAAAAAATACACAGTCAATCCTTAAGTAAAATAACCTTACTTATGTCATAATTAGTACAAAGACATACTTCTTGATGTGAAATAGCCATTAGGGAAGAGAAATGGTTGTACATAGGCTCACACACAGGGCACGTCACATAATATGTCCCTTGAGCTTGGCAGACAACTTATAGTATCAACAAGCACCATCTTTTAATGTTTGGAACTATGCAGACATGGGTTCGAACCATCCACCTTCTGCTCTGCAGTAATAAAATCTTGCATACATAACAGCGCGGTAATCATGGTAATAAATGCTGATAAATATTTCATTTCCTAAAAAAGGGAAAAGAATTAATACAGTAGAAGACTTTTGATATGATCCCTCAAATTACAATAATCATGGTCTGTGTAACCATGGTAACAGTTTGGCAAAATACATATATGGAATATAATGGCATTTGATATTAATCCCTGGTTCTTTATGTTCAACACAGACAACATCTAGAAACCATCGTGGACAAGGCTGACATACTCAGCTACATGATGTGTCTATGTACAAAGCCTTGACTTACAGTACAACAGCTCATTGGAATAGCATCATACAGGCTGGATGTCAATATCAATCACATTTGGCCAATCAGGATATACATCTCTATATTACCCATGTGGACATTATGTAAAGTTATTCTGAACTTCTGGTGACTGACTCCAAATGGGAGCAAAAAGCTAAATGATTCATCTAGCATCATAATAATAATAATAATAATAATCATCATCATCGTCGTCATCATCATCATCATCATCATAATTAAAAAATAAAATAAATAAAATACTACTACTAATAATAAAAATAAAATAATAATAATAATATGTATGTGATTATATCAGCAGGAGAATGGTCAGAAGAACTTAAAACAAGATCCATTATTTTAATGAGTTAGCACTGTTACCCTTCACTTAGGATTGACTTCTTATTATATCAATGCCTTGTGGTCATTTCTTGGCTGAAAACTCACTATCATTCTCTATTATCTAGTGTACTATATTTCCATTCCAGTATGGTACATACCAAGGACCTATTTCCCAGTCACTTTGTCTTCAGTCACCTTGAATAACCCATTGGTAAGAAAATAATTAAATTTATCATTGTCATTCAACGCTAAGTCCAAGTTACACTGCTCTTTACTGCCTGAAACTAACATCAATATTTTCAGGACTCGACTCACCAAGTGAGATGTCACAATTACAACCAGGACATATTGTAGCATAAGAACATATTGAAAACAGCTTTCAAAGCTCATGTAATGACAGTATCCAGATTCATTAAACATATCTAGCGACAGCTTGAACGAGACTGCAAATTTGAATGTTTCTCTATTCCAAACTCCTGAAGAGGCATTTTGACTTGAAGTTGGTTTCAACATTATGAGTGACAAATATTCTGTGCTAAGTACCACTTGTGATGTGAGATGGAGCTAGTGTATATATCATACCAGAATGATATACAATACCGTTGATAATCAACGACTCAATTATACTCAACCTGTTTCAACAGCCAGATTGATTGAAAAAATAAATTCCTATGGATTTTCTACAAAACATTCTAAAAAATCCTTGCTTTGTATAAAGCTGTTTTCCCTCGGTTCAGTAAGTCACCTTGATCACATGATCATTTGTGTTTCCATAGTTACGGGAAACTGGCCATTGTAACGTTACTGCTGTATCCACACCAAGACATTACATCACATGATCGTGTGTTTCCATAGTTACGGGAAACTGACCATTGTAACGTTACTGCTGTATCCACACCCAGACATTACATCGTCATGCTGGTCAGACATCACCCAATCTCATGACAATCAGATCTTTGAGCTTGCTACCACTACATGTATGTCACGGCTGACCATCAACACCAGACTGCCAACTTCAGAGTTGTGACATAAAACTACTGGTTTCAACAACTGATTGTTTCTCCGACAATGGTTGGTCCGTGTTAAGGTATGGGAGTTGCAGTTGGCACATGCCTTGATCGCTCTGTGTGCCTCGACTCGAGGCCACATTACAAGAAGTGATCCCAACAAGGAACACAGCAAGTCTATGTAAAAGCACAGGCACTACGAGAGCCACACGCAATAGCAGCTCCATTGTCCCCTTGGCCCATCCACAACTGCAAGTAGGATTTTTCTAAGGGTAGACTTAAGTTGGAGTACGGAGATTACGACAATCGTAAGGGATGCAAAGCGTACAAGGTTACTAATGTCTTCATCCTTTAGTGGAATGTGTCCTACTTACAAAGGAATGTCCCTGAATATAATGGTGCAATATTATCTTAGTCCTCTAGCATTATAAATGACAATTATCCCAGTTTCCTTGAAAAATGTTTGTCATTTAAACAACCTAACAAATCATATTTGTGAGGATATTGGTAGACAAAAGTTAAAAAATATTGGTACTGTAAAACATTTTTTACACATATTCCAATCATTTAACCTAACAAAGGGTGACACAGAGTTTTATCTGGGCCAACCTTGAGGCCGATATGATACCTCTGCAACAAACATCAGTAAAATTACTAAATTGGAATTAAATACCTTCCAAATTCATGTTAACGTAGAAAACACTATGTCTTGGCCTTATAGACTTGCACTGATAACGTTGCAAAACATCATGAACAGAAAGAGACAGCCTTAATGGTTAGTTGTAGACGATGGCTTAAAATGCTGGGAATACATTGGTAAAATACATGAGAGAATTCTAAAACATCCGAATACCTAGCAACATAATGACGTTTTCCCTATTTGCAGCAATTGAAACATTTTTAGTCCTTATAATGATAATATATAGCAAAACCCTAACAATGGCACATTTCTGCTTGTCCTCATGACACCTTAACTATTGGGAAGTTTGCAAGGGCTATAGGCTTAGTGCCAGTTTCTCTCACCGATTTGCCTCCCAAAGGACATTTAGTTTCGACTCTGAGATGATTGGCTGTACAGCCCGGATCCTGGTAGGCAGATTCACCTGTACAGCAGTACGTTACGACTGACTCCCTATTCCCAGCTGATTAACAATCCACAGATGATTAAACCCCATAGGTTTAATGTGATGTCCTAAGGCAGCTGGGTTTTAGAGTTGTCAATCTAGAAAAACTACACAAAATATTGGATGAATTCATACATCTAAGCCACTATATACAGATTTACGGAATACATTTCACTGACACATCTTCTATCCAATCAAGAATGTAGGATGACCAGCAATCCTTAAGGATCAGACAATGAAAAGCATTCATGACAATGATTGACAGACATCAAAGGATTGATGACAATGATTGACAGACATCAAAGGATTGATGACAATGATTGACAGACATCAAAGGATTGATGACAATGATTGATGGACATCAAAGGATTGAACACTTTCTCTGCTTGCTTCTTCTCCGGTTTCTTTGTTTCTTCAAATCTATTGGCTGTGACCTGCAGCAACAACAGAAAAATATGGTTTTGTTTTTTGTTTGTTTGTTTGTTTGTTGTTAACGCAGCACTCAGTAATATTCCAGCTATATGACGACGGTCTGTAAAATAATCAAGTCTGGACCAGACATCCAGATCCAGTGATTGACATCATGAACATCGATCCACGCAATTTAGATCGATGTCATTTATCAACCATGTCAGCGAGCCTGACCACCCAATCCCGTTAGTCGCCTTTTACGACAAGCATAGTCACCTTTTACGGCAAGTATGGGTTGCTGAAGACCTATTCTATCCCGGATCTTCACGGGTCAGAAAAATAGGGAAATAAAATACCAGGAAAACATGACACATCAAAAAGATGTCGACTGATTCATGTTTAAATATTTTGTTCCTTTTTCAAGACCATCCCTCCTCTAATATTGCACCTGCCTATATATATTTGTTAAGCACTGTTAAGAAACAATTTGTTCAACTCAAAAGGTTGTTGCAAGAATATTTCGATCTATGCAGCAAAACAATCCAGTTAATAATACTCGACACTTTACGGGTATGATAAAATGTAGTGAGTGAGTGAGTTGGGTTTAATGCAGCTTTTAACAGTTTTCCAGTTGTATCACGGCGTGTCAGCTTAATGTGGGAGGAAAGCTTGAAGTGATGCATGTCTGGGACGTTTACCACTTCAGTGAAACCCATGAAGCATGGGTATGGTGCTGACAAACCAAGAAACATAATCAGGGCTAAATGGGATTCGAACCCACAATCATAGGTTTCTGGCGTGCCCAAGGGACACAACTCTACACAGCGAATTGCAGCACCTTAGACGACTGGGCCACCCATACCCCCTGATAAAATGTAAGCAACCATGTAACCGGGTGACTGATCCAATTTAGTCAGCAATGAAGTTCTGGGTTCCGTTCCACAAAGTGATCGTCACTTCCATACTTAAACTTTGTGGAACGGGACAATGGAGACTTATTCTAACCCACGACCCCATTGAGTTTTCAATAAATACACATCACTTTGGAAAGCATGCAAGATGCTACACTGCTGCAACAAAACTCATTTGGTGGAAATGATGATCTATGCAGAACCTTTCTCATTAAAATCAGATCTTAGTTTTCGCTACCAATAAACAAAGATCTGAGGACACTCCATTACGGTTCACGTCAGAACGACCTTTCGCGAATTCTGACCGACCAATGAAATGACTGACAAGAAATCGACATTAGCCAATCAGAAGGCAGCTTTCTCGCACTTTACGACACTAGTTTCAAACTGGCGACTACGCTCCGAAACATATTTTGACGTATTCTCGATGAAAAAAATTATAACTGATAAGAACATTCTGGAACATTATAGATGGCCTAGATTGTATGGATATAATCATAAAACCTGTAACTAGATATTTCGTGGTTGCATGATTAGAAAACACATTCCGACTGACTTTCATGATCTGGTAAGCGATGCTCTGATTGGTTTGATGAAAGGTCGTTCTGACGTGGCCCTTAATGGGATGTCCTCATATCTTTGTTTAGCGATAGCGAGACCTAAGATCAGATTTTAATGAGATCTCTGCAGAACATCCTGGACCTCGTCAGACCTCCAGCGTACCTGATAACTCGGACCACTTCATGGAAGGCAAAGTCTACATTAAGGGGTGGGTCCTTGGCACTGGTTTCAATGTAGGTAATCTGCAATACAAAAGACACACATACAACAATCACTCATTTTGCTACAGACAAATGTCGCTTAGATTGTTTAGGTCACTTTTATGATTTGGGCAATTCTTAACCCCATTAAAATCAGATATTGGGTTTTTAAATTTTTCCAGTGATTTGTACACAAGCATGATAAATTGGGTAAAGGTGAATTATTTTGCAGATTTTATGCAAATACATAGCCTATCTGGAGGTCTGTATGTTATCACTTTCCCGCAAGTAAACGTTTCTGTTACATTTCATTCCAGACAAAGTTTCATAAATACATGAGGTGGGTTATCTCCCCTGAATACGGGCAACGTACACGCAGCTCAGATGCGAGATCTCTCCCGAGGTCTTCGCTGACTTTTCTCTGGTGCACTAAGTCCACTTTGTTGCCCACAAGGATCATGGGATAGTTGTTCCTGCAACCATGGCAACAAGGAGTCAGAAAAACAAAACAAAAAAAACAACAGAAAATGTAGGCCTGCCCGCTAACATACAACATTTTCCTGATTGGCTGATAATGAAATGGACGGGGCTTGTGTTGCATCAGTCCTTTAAATGATGTAACTGACTGGGTAGTGTTGTCTACAGTTTTATTGTGTTCATGATGATCAAATATGCAGTCTGTGAACCTATCATTGTTGACATATTTATTCACGTGATTAATAAAGATGGTTTTCAATATTTTTTGTGGATTTACACACCGTTTATTTACGATTACTATATCCTCATACAAGCAAAACATATTGAAGTCAATTCCTTATTTAATCAAACAAATACATCACAAACCACCATGTTAACATGGTTAACATTGCTAAACATTTTAAAGAATTGCGCGACACTTACAACAAATTTGCATATGGAATTATCATGAAAATGGTCCATTTACCTGTCTTTTACCCGTAATATTTGAGTGTGGAAGTTCCTGATGTTTTCAAAGCTCTGTTTGTCTGTGACGGAGTAGACGAGGAGGAATCCGTCCCCTTTCCTCATATACTGCTCCCGCATGGCACTGAATTCCTCCTGTCCTGCCGTGTCCAGCACTGAAACAGTCGGAAACAAACGTAAACAATAACATCACAGAGCTACAGATAAGCTGCGTTTTTTTGTATAAAAAAATGTTTTGCCCCCAAATTACTATCAATAAACTTGCGTACGGAAATGCATGCATTAAATAGAAAACTCAATTGTTTGAAAACAGCATGCGTAAATCCTCAATGAAGCCTTTCCAGCATGTGTACAACGGAGCTAATATCATGAATATCCTAAACACAGTTACGCGCTATTTTACTTTACAAGTCCTGCCTATATTTAGAACCGTTATCATGGTTATACACATCTAAAACATTATTTAATTTTTTTTAAATCTCAAAATGCTTACTCATTTTGGGAAAAACCCAATAGTATTGGTTATCCAATGATAAAAGTTATAACCCAATTAAAATAGAAACCTTCGAGTAAAAGCTCAATTGCTCAAACAGCTATCAGGAGCTCTGACAGCAGTAAATGCCAGTAAACGTCTGTAAAGCCGTGGATAAACAGTGGACATACATACAGACGATGCTTTCTAAAGTATTTTGATTCATTCATACAGCCCGTAACAGTAGTTTTATGATTAAAAAAAATATTCTGTAAACAATGTAACATAACAATCTGAATATTTTATTTTTTTATTACGTGTTTGTATCGTTATCTATCGCGTAGTTGTCCGATTTTTTATCACGAACGCTGATACTACTTAATTTCATTTATGCGACATACTCGTTAATCTGACATACTCGTTCATCTGACATAATCATATGCAACCAAACATGTTGGATTGACGGGACCTGACTGTAGTTGAACATTACACTTAACAGATCAGCTGACAAAAATTTCACAACTGAGAGAAAAAAATTTGAAATGTTAAGATCAGGCTTTTTGTTCTGCCAAGTCTGCCATATGACCTTTAATGGAGTCGCTGACTCCCCTAGAACTGCACCTCATGTTGTAATGAAAGTGTCATTGATACACTTACATTAGCTACAGCACAGACCGTGTTCATGTTTAAACTTACCTTACAAACAATAATAAACAAACTTGTCTGAAATCGTGAGCATTATGGGAAGGGAAGTAACTCCTGAGTCAGAGCTGTACCTTCCAAGTAGTAGACCCATATCAGAAGAGAACAGGTGCAAAGTCTGTTTCATGATTGGAAGTTTCAGACATCATAGACTTGTTCATGATGTTAGAACAATGTAGAGAAACAATGACAACAACTACATCAACAACTACAACTACTACCGTCAACATGGACGACAACATATGATGATGAGCATGGTAAGTGAAAAACGTCATGATTGTGGAATTCCAGACTGAAAATCAACAGTTGGTCATGATGGTTGCCATGACTACTATAAGATGACAGCTCTCTCCATGACACAACTAGCAGTTTTCATTTTCAATTTTAAACCCACAGTTCCCACTGTATTCCGCGATTGTGGAATATTTTTCAGAAATGCCATTCAATGAAGAAATGTACCTGTCTGGCAGTAAATCTTTCATAGTCAAAAACTGTGCATAGGTATATTGAAATCATTATTTGAACAGTGCATTGTACTAATTAAATCATACCAAATAATTATTTGAAGTGTTTGTGTTATATCATGTATATCGGAAAAAGTAAAAACAATTTATAAACAATCTTGTCAACATTTTACATTTTGAGAAAAAGTCAAACGAATCTATTTCGTTTTGAAGTGAAGTTGGCTGTTGTATTATTGCTTTCAAAAAGTGCATGTCTGTATGTTTACACTAGTGGTCTCCAGATTCAATTCAATATCTATTCTAGCCACGGATAACTTTATCATCAAAATGCCTGCCACAAGTCAAGTGATGCAATACTAGGAAAGTAACTAAAACTAAACTTAGAAGTTGGCAGCAATATGTGCAGAATCATAAAAATGTGGTTGCAGAGTTTACAAACACTGAGCGCAGAATTTGGATTTTTTTGGGGGGCCATGGAATACAGCGGGGACTGATGACAGTACTTTGTCTGGGCCTCTCCATCAGCTGACCATGCTGACGGGGATATTGTAGCAGGAATCAGAAAGCATCCTGAACACATTGCAAAAGCACATTTGTCTCACGTAGTTCAGAATGTACGCAGTACTTTTAGTGTCTAAACGTCAAAAGTGTAATGGAAGATGCTTTTCGGATACTTTCAGAAAAAGAATGATGAAAAGGATGAGTAGTTACCATGGTTACTATGGCAAAAACCCACAATTTTGTTTTTTGACAGACACATGTATGTTTCATAACTTCCTGACATCTGAAGTTTGCTATCAATAATTTCCAAAGCCTTGTATTTATTACTTGTTACATTAGATTGGTGTTAGATTGGTGTGAACATATTACATGAGACAGGTGTTAAATAGAGAATCTCACCCAAGTGTCTTTTGATATCAAATATATCAACATGAGTTGAAAAAAGTGGGAAAACTCTGAGGGTGAGATTTTATTTATCACCCAACATCATTCTTCTAACGTTTTCAGTATGTAGACAGTAATAAGCAGTGTCTTAAGTGTAAAAAGTACTGCTAACAACTTCAGTAGCAGAGCCATTGGTGTTGTCATTTGCTTGTGATGCCATGGTAACCAATGACATCACAATGGTCCGCAAAGCATTGTGATGCAATTTTATTGCAGCAATATCTTCAATGTAGATATGGGTTGATCTCACCCAAGCAATATCTCCTGTGGGAGCCAGTTTGGGATGATAAATATTGTTTAATGACAAATGGGTGTGAACCTACATCTATGCATGCTAAGTCCAACCTAGAATCAACAAACACCAATTTATTCTTGGATGTAAAACACTTTGGAGAATGCTGCTGATCTGCTGAACATGCTGGATGAATGTTTATTACACACACCATCAACTTGTCAGTTCTTTTAGCATGTTACTATGGTTACAGGCAAATGAAATCGGTCCTGACTATCCATCAATCTGCACTATCTGATGCAAGACCATAATTTTCACCTTTCTTCAACATGTTCAAGAGTTGCTGACAATGATTTATAGTTAGCGCTGGGCTGGACAAACTAGAATGATAATCATAATCAGCTGATAATGATAATAACATTCGATATTGTCATAACAAATGAAAGAATATCATGAATATGGAGAAATTGTGGCCCATTGAAATCTATGCATGTGAAAGCAGTGTTTGGATAGACTCTCCATTTGCGCTTCTCAATCAACCAATCTTTAAAGAAACTTCACAAATATTATCCTACTGAAACTGAAAGTGGCTCAAACACCAGACATGAACATGGATAATAACATGGTTAGTAGAATAATACATTGCCGAACAAATGATGTTTAGTTTGTAGAGACAATAAACAAGTGTTTTGGTTATGAAATTTCATTTTGAAGTGACATGTTTACACTCTGACACAGGTGATAGCAGTTTGCTAACAAGTAACATTGCCTGTGGTGGGCTGTTTAAACAGAACCAATAACATATATGCCCATTGATGGTGAGATGAAATGGGGTTTGATGCCTCATTCTAGATTATTTGCACTTATATAGCAATGTGCTATACTGATTCCCGAGCCAACCAGTCCTTGTTTTATCAATTTAATGCTGAGCACCAGGTAGGGTGACAAGAAGTGTACCATATTTAAACATCTTTTGGTATGGTGAGGTCGGGGGACTGAATCACTGTCTTTCTGCTCTCTGGGCAGGCACTTTACCATGTCTACTCATTAGACCACAGTGGCATTCCATGTTGATGGTAGATAAACATAACAATGTACCAGAATGGAACAAACATTGCGTAGTGTATTGTAATCTGTATGTACAAGTCAACAATACCACATGGTACCACCAATATATGTATTGCGATCTTTGGCATATCATTAATACTTTGATTGACGTATCAATATTCATACACCCATGTTATAACCATGTTTATACACCGGGTTATAACCGACATGTCCACATGACAGTGAATCTAAAGTCGTGGTTGTAGCATTCGTGTATCACTGGAAAGATATCTCGACTCATTCCTAGATCTTCTAACCAATGTTGCCGATGAAACAGAAACAATCACGCGGATTTTAAGCAAAGAGGGGTCAAGCATCGGTGACAACTTACCGTCCAGAATACACCACTGTCCGTCTATATCCGTGTGTTGAATGTATGAATCTTCAATAGTGGGATCATAGTCTTGAACAAACATTTTCTGAAAGAACTGAATAGTCAGGGCTGATTTGCCCACACCACCATCGCCGACCACCACCAATTTGAAAGTGGCCAAGTTATCGTGAGGTGCCTTCGACATGGTTTAGTCTTCTTACACAGCTGTGTTCGGGTAACTAACCAAAACGTATCATTTATAAAACCTTTCGCTGTTAGTTTATCTATCCAGTCAGGTTTGTAGTGTGTATTTGGCCATTATCTCGTCCAAACACTGGCAATGTAAGAGACTGAATGTGTGAAAGCTTTGCTACTTCCTGTACACCGTCCTTGACCTTCAAACACTTGCTCACTTCCGGAAACGCACTTCCTGATGACGAAAGGAGTTGTCCTTTCTCGGTCGGTAAGACCTCCGTGCCGTCTTGTGCCAATCGCTTAGTTCGCGGGTCGAGCCCACTTTGAGTCGAAGAGTGACTTTTCAACAAAAGTTGTTTTCTCTTCCGCACAACCTAATGAGAAGGTCAAATAACTTTTGTGTGTTGTCGTTTTTTTCCACTTTCTCCGTTTAAGATCCACGGAAAATATCCACAAAACAGAACAACGCAGTAAAACTCTGACCTACATAAACAAGATAAAGTTACTAATATCCTGACAAGTGTATTTACCACGTCACTGTTATTTCGCAAGTTCTACAGATACAGGTCTGCGATCGTGTCGACGGCCTGCAGTATTCGAACTCTATGGCCCAACTAAGTTCACCCGACCTATTTATTCATGTAGTATAGTGACTTCTATATTTAAATTTGGATTTGATTGGATAAGCTGACGGGGATAACACCCGTAAATACCGCAGCTGAACGCGGTGGGGCGAGCATGGCAAATACCGGATCAACAAAGCTATCGACACACGATCTAGACTTGCACAAGTCTCCGTTACAACATATCAAGTTCTGAATGTACAGTGTCCTTTAAACATCATTGCAGACTGAGTGGCATAATCATACAAATACATAGACGGATAGCAAGTGTGCAATGGAACATTGTGAACACTCGTTCTTAGTCATATATAACACTAATTAGTGTCTGTGCATGGCTTATTTGCTTTGGGTAGAGTTTAATTAATATATTTATTTATTTATTTAGATAAGCACCCATTTTTCGGACTAATTTCGTCTCACATCGGTCGCTGTGTGAATGGACCGCCTCCGTGGTCTAGTGGATAGAGCGTCTGCCTGGAGTGCGAAAAGTTCGTGGTTCGACCCCCACCGCGTCATACCAACGCGACGATAAAAGATGGTACCTCACTACGTTTTACCATGCCTTGAGCTCGGCATTAAGCAGCGTTAGAAACTGGCACTAGTTCTATAGTCCTTGCCAAAGTGCCCAATAGTTAAGGTATCCTAAGAATTAGTAGAAATTTGCCATTTTTAAGGGTTTTGCTATATGTTATCATTATAAGAACTAGTGGGCTTAAACTGTAAGTTTCTATCGCTGCATTAGAGGATTAAGCATGGACTGGTCGGCTCTAAGTCATTATACTGGGTTTAACAGCAGCATGGTATCTCAGTGAGCTAGCGGGATAAAACTGGACTAGAACAAGCAGACCAACACCCCACCAACACACATGTATACACACGTTATGCAAGCGTTACACTCTTGCACGCGATGTTGAACCCCATGCCCTAGCAATATTCCAGTTGTATCAGTGAATGAATGAGTGAGTGAGTTGAGTTTAACGCCGCTTTTAACAGTATTCCAGTAATATCACGGCGTGTCAGCTTAATGTGGGAGGAAAGCCCGAAGTGATGCAGGTCTCAGACGTTTACCACTTTGGTGAAACCCACGAGCACGGGTATGGTGCTGAAAAACCTAGAAACATAATCGGGGCGAACTGGGATTCGAACCCACAATCATAGGTTTCTGGCGTGCCCAAGGGACACAACTCTGCACAGCGAATCGCGGCGCCTTAGACGACTGGGCAACCCGTGCCCCCTCGAGTTGTATCAAGGCCTCCTGGGAGCTATCAGGTTTACACCAAGCAATCCAGCAGGTGGTATAACATGAACCGCCTCGGTATGATGATAATTATCCAGGTCAGACAGTGTTACGCTGACAACATATATTTTACAGTTAATACAGTTCAGACTTGCGTCCCTTGCTCGTGAAATCTATGTTTGTGGGTTCGAATCCCGGTTCGCCCCGATTGTGTATCTAGATTTGTCAACACCATACCTGTGCTCGTGGGGTTCACAGCAGTGGTAAACGTACCTGCGACACTTTAGGCTTTCCTCCCACTTTAAGCTGACACGCCGTGATTTTATAACTGGAATACTAGTCAAGGCAGCGTTCAACCCAACTCACTCACTCACTCACTCACTACTGTTAAAGGGTTGGGATTGTAATGTAAGTTGTGCCCCTTGCAAGTGCAAGTATCTGATGATCATAGGTTTGTCACCGACTTTGGCCACTTGTTGACTCGCAATGATATAACAAAATACTCTTCAAAGCGGCGTTAAACCTCACTCACTCATTTACGAAAACCTATTGGGGTCAAAACCGTAGCTAAAAAGTCATTTTACGTGTTCTTTAAAGTCTTTATTACGAGAGTGAAGTTGTAATTAGGAGATCTTTACAGTCGTTGGTGCGAGAATGAAGACGTTGCGAGAATATTGTAAGAGTAGAACTATTAAAACATTATTAGTTGTGATATTACTTTAATGTGAAACTCTTGTGAATCGGGACCAGTATATCTCGAAGCAAAGACAGTCGGCTATAGATACATGAAATAAAAATTTAAAAATAAGCAACGAAATCCTACTAATGGTGTTGTTGATAATATGTATACGCACAAATATATATTAAGTTAATAATCTGCGATAACTTGAGTGAGTGAGTATGGTTTTACGCCGCTTTTAGCAATATTCCAGCAATATCACGGCGGGGGACACCAGAAATGGGCTTCACACATTGTACCCATGTCGGGAATCGAACCCGGGTCTTCAGCGTGACGAGCGAACGCTTTAACCTCTAGGCTACCCGACTGCCCCTTGAGATAACTTGAAGACATTATCTGATTATCACTTGGTCATACATGAGAATAGCATTTACAATTTCTATTCCCCACATAGATAATTCAATAGGGAGTGACTGTAAATAGACCTGCATTTATTGAAGAAAACAAATATGTTTTCACTTGATTATGAAGAATTATCTCTGTCTCGGTGTTTTACGACTTTAAAAACTCGTAACTACGACTTTATTCTCGTAACTACGACTTTATTCTCGTAACTACGACTTTATTCTTGTAATATCGACTTTAAGAACTCATATTCGTAATTAGGACTTTAAGAACTCGTAACTACGACTTTATTCTCGTAATATCGACTTTAAGAACTCATATTCGTAATTGGGACTTTAAGAACTCGCAATAACGACTTTAAAGAACCCACACACCTACGACTATATTCTCGTAATAACGACTTTAAGAACTCGTAATTAAGACTTTATTCTTATAATTGCGGGTTTTTAAAAAAAAGTTTAGTTACACAAACACAAACACACACACACACACACACACACACACACACACACACACACACACACACACACACACACACACACTGTGACCGGTGCCTTTTTTTATTGAACGAGCTGAGAAAGTTTGTCTAGAATGCAATCATTTATTTAAGTTGCTCTCTTCATTATCATTGTCTACAAAGTCAGCAGTGCAGTTGGTCCTTTAATATTGTCAGAACGACTTGGAGAAAGTCTTGCCACGCACGGAGTGGGCCGTGTTAGGAGCGCGCATAGCTATATGTGAATATTAATCCAAGCTGTAATATGCTCGTGATATGAAGAGTGTTTGGGCCGGAAACCCGACAATGCTTTCAATATGTTCTTGTTGTCTGAAGTTGAAAGAACGTCAAATAGAATTACTGAAGTGAACATCCTGTCCCTAAATGACAGCCCACCCGAGCAACACGCGCCTTGTCCGGTATGCCGAGTCGCTGATTTCCTTCACCGTTAATGTTATTTAGTCACTGTAATCTCATGTTTATTTCTTTTAAAGCCATTTGATAAAAATCCTCCTTGAACAATGATATAATAACATCATATAAGATCTGATAAAAAATTGTTTTAATCCAGGAAAAGACAGGTTCATATGTAAGTTTAAAAGGTGTGTTGAGTGAGTGAGTGAGTTGGATTTAACGCCTCATTGTACAATATTTTAATTATATCCCGGCGTGTCCGCTTGATGTTGGAGGAAAGCCCGAAGTGATGCAGGGACCCGTGTACTATAATTGTGTATAGTGAGTGAGTATGGTTTTACGCTGCTTTTAGCAATATTCCAGCAATATCACGGCGGGGGACACCAGAAATGGGTTTCACACATTGTACCGATGTGGGGAATCAAACCCGGGTCTTCGGCGTGGTGAGCGAACGCTTTAACCACTAGGCTACCCGACCACCCATAATTGCGTAAAATGTACATAGTGCGGATGGATGCATATTTTATTTAGATAAGGTAGGGCGGCTATGAACGCTTGATGTACTTTTCTTGAAGCTGTGGCGCATTGAACACACGAGTAAAACGTGGTACTTACTTTCAACTGCCCCAGTCTTACAGACAGGTTTATTTACAGACTGCCACAACAGCTGGAATGGCCCAGCATGCGGCATTAAACAGCATTCACACACTTATTCTAATATAAAGAGAGTGAGTGAGTGAGTATGGTTTTACGCCGCTTTTAGCAATATTCAAGCAATATCACGGCGGGGGACACCAGAAATGGGCTTCACACATTGTACCCATGTCGGGAATCGAACCCGGGTCTTCGGCGTGACGAGCGAACGCTTTAATCACTAGGCTACCCGACCGCCCCTAATATAAAGAGAAAGTACATGTAACTGTTCCCTTTGAATCATTAATAATTCAGTTTGATTCTATATAATTATATGTAATTGGCTCTGTTCACAAAGGCAGAGGGATTATTGTGTATAAGTATGTTTGGTCTCCTGGCAAAAACTAAATTGATATGAAGCCTCTCTGTGCAACAAATGCACTTATGTTTACACCCAATTATTCTTTTCAATACTTTTCCCAACCCAGTCCCGATCTCATTACTGTACTAATTCAGATTCGGGGCCAAGTACTACTTGACACTGTGCCCCATCCCAGTATAGGGTCACCCTTTACTGTGTCATATGTTGGGCAAATATATGGGTCATCTCAAATTACATTTCGCCATTATTATATGTTCCATAGCTGCAAGTTCAACGTCTCTTTTAAGATGAATATTTCACATAGGATTAAGCTACTTTTATGTGTTTAAAACTATTCTTTTACCGAGTTAAATCATGAAAAATAAAAGAAATGAATTATCAGGCGCCCTATATACTGTGCATGGACTATACAAATGTATATGGTTAATATCTCATGTGGAATAGACGATGTTTATAATAACAGAAACTGTATCGCAATACTAAGCTGTGTGGCATGTAAAGCATGTCCCGAGGCGAGTCATATCGCCTGCAGTGACATGGTAATGATGTTGTAACCAACCTTGTGCGCCGCGGAAACGATTGGGACTTAACACACTGCGTCACGGCGTGTTCGTATTACATAGCGTACGTGTAAGAGTAAAGTTGATCTGTCGAAGGTTTAGAGACGTGACACCTTCTTAAAGCCAACTCCATTAAAACCATACCGTAGTTTCATATGGTTGTTAGGCGCGAACATTTGCTAGTATTCAGGGTGTGGCCCCTTTGTTTGTTTGGGTGACTGGTTCAGGGGACACAATATGTTTCTTTGAACAAGGAGTCAGACACTGGGGACCCTCTCAACAAATTCTTCAGGACATCCGGTGAACTTCTTTTTTCTAAACCTGAGGCAAAATTATTTCCCCCTGTATTTCTATAACGGGCTATTTCACCCCCACCCCTTGGCCACTTGGTGTCCTGAAATATAAGAATTTCATTGTTTGGAAACAGTTTAAAAAGAAACAGTTGCCCTAGATCTCTCTTGGATAATTTAGACCGCCTCCGTGGTCTAGTGGATGGAGCGTCCGCCCTGAGAGCGGAAGGTGGGTGGTTCGATCCCCTGCCACGTCATACCAAATACGTTAAAAGATGGTTTTGTTGTTTCCTTGCCTGGCACTCGGCATTAAGGTGATGAAACAAGGATTGATCGGCTGCGCGCATAGTATCTCAATGGGGTATCACTAGACTAACATCTAGTCTCTGAAATGAAAATATTTTACAGAAAAATAAGTTCTTAAATTATCTAGATAAAATGTAACCAAAAGGAGCCCAGAGACTCTCTTCCTTTTCTGACTGCAGTAATCTAGACTTGCCAACTATAATAGACTTGCATTGGGCATATTTGTTTCAGGGTCTGTATGACACACTAGGCAAGCACTATAAAACCGGCACTACCCCAGACAAGTTCAAGCATTTACGCACACACATGAAAATTCACGTCGCTATATATAGGTGTAATAATCTTCAACTCGACGTTTAACCCCATTTCACCTCCCCTCATCCCGCCCTCCAGCGAGGAAACTGCATAAAGGAGACGTGTGCTTTTGGGAACAAGTCAGGTTTTCCTTAGCAGCTATCTGTTACTGATTGCAAATAGACGCTCACTTTTTTCCTCGTACTGTTGATAATATCTCAGCCACCCCATATCCCCACTCACCCCCTGTGTTCCCCATGCGGACCCAATTGTATAGCGCTAACACCGTCTTCAACAACCCACGCTTGTCGTAAGATGCGACTAACGGGATCGGGTGGTCAGGATCGCTGACTTGGTTGATGCATATCATCGTGTCCAAATTACGTAGATCGATATTCATGATGTCAATCACTGGATTGTCTGGTCCAGATTCGATTATTTACAGACCGCCGTCATATAGCTGGACTATTGCCGAGAGTGGTGTTAAACAACAAACACACAAACGTTCGTATTTCCTTATGAGTTATTCTTGGACTGATTGTAGACAGTCAAGGCCAAGTCACACAAAACATCATTAGCCCAGGTTAACCTTAACCACTGAGGTTAGAATTAAAGTTAATTTAGTCTGACCTTATGCCTGTTTCACAAAGCAACCGTAGCTAGATCTTAATTCGGTGTGTCAGTCTTACGCTAAGGTTGCGATCGTAAGGCTGTATGACATCGCGTGCGGAAACCATTACTCGAAATGCTGTGAAAAACACAATTTGTGATTTTTTAAACCGATTTACATAATCGTCAAATCAATATTTAAACATGAACGGTGACAAAACTATCGCTAACTTCCGCCACGTTTGTAATCTACCTTTCTTATTAGCATGTCTAGGTGTTGTGTGAAATCCATGTGCAAGCGATGTATTTAATTAAGCCTAGGTAAATTCATATGGCACAACAGATTCTGGATAAACAAGTGTAATCCCCCCTCCACTAACAAAGGTGAGGTGAAATTGGGTTGAACGTCGCGTCCAAGATTATTGCACTTATATAGCGACGTGCATGCACGTGTATGTGTGTGTGTGGCTGCTTGTACTACTCCGGACTGATGCCGATTTATAGTGCTAGCTCAATGAGATACCATGCCGCAGTTTAACATGAATACCCCACTCAGACACAGTATACTGACTCCGAGCCGACCAGTCCTTGTTTTGGCCCCTTAATGCCGAGCGCCAGACAGGGTAACAACAAGTACAATCTTTTAACGTCTTTTTGTATGACGCGGCCGGGGATCGCACCCCGGACCTTCCGCTCTCCGGGCGGACGCTCTACCACTAGACCACGGAGGCTGTTTCCACTAACAAAAGTTGAATCCAGTCGCGGAAAGAATCTCAAAACAAGAGAGACTCATGCCTCGACAGTTTATCTGAATGATCGTCATACATTTATTGATAGTGTCAATTTTCTGTATAGCAGATTAGGGGATGAAATTCTCAAACACGGGTAGAACATATTTAATATCGGTTGTTACTACATGTACTGTGATCGACACCAAATATACATTCACAATCTACTGCAGATATCGACTCCTTCATTTATACTTCAATTGTTAATTTTCATCAGATATTAACAGTACATTCACTGACATTAACACATGTTTAAGCTTCATGCTTCGTTTATGAACTCATGGATACCGTTATTCGTCGGGGGAGAAAGTGCTTACCCCCAAAACAATGTATTTCGCTTCACAGGAAGTTTTGAAAATAAAATATAGTTTAATAAGGTTTTCTAAGGATTCGCTCAAACAATTGTTTTCCACGCAACCTGTCATTAATTGGCTAGTTTTGTCAAAACATATGCTCTGAAATTATAGGCAGATGGACTTTTTTAGCGTACTCGGGTATTTTATGATTGATACTGAACACGTTTCGCTGCCTCGTCCTTTGGTGACATTGTAGGCTAAACAACTCACATATCCGTGTGTTAGAAAGTATACATTTCCTGTTATTATGCGAATGACGCGGGAAGATGACATTTCACTGGCGAAGATCGATTATAAGTAGTTTTGTAATGTATTTATGTTGTGTGGAATGCTTTGCAAACCATACTGACAAAATATCAGTAGTATATAGAATGGAAAGCAGTCTCTTTTGTGTTGAAAGTGTGAGTTCCTCTATGCACGTGAGAGACATGTGATCCTCCATGCACGTGTGAGACATGTGATCCACCATGCGCGTGTGAGACGGGTGATCTTCCATGCACGTGTGAGACATGTGATCTTCCATGCACGTGTGAGACGGGTGATCTTCCATGCACGTGTGAGACATGTGATCTTCCATGCACGTGTGAGACATGTGATCTTCCATGCACGTGTGAGACATGTGATCGTCCATGCACATGTGAGACATGTGATCTTCCATGCACGTGTGAAACATGTGATCCCCCCTGCACGTGTGAGACATGTGATCTCCCATCCACGTGTGAGACGGGTGATATTCCACCCACGTGTGAGACATGGAATCGCCCATGCACCTGTGAGACATGTGATCCTCCATGCATGTGTGAGACATGTGATCCTCCATGCACGTGTGAAACATATGATCTCCCATGCACGTGTGAGACGGGGGATATTCCACGCACATGTGAGACATGCGATCCTCCATGCACGTGTGAGACATGGAATCGCCCTTGCACGTGTGAGACATGTGATCTTCCATGCACGTGTGAGACATACAACCGCCCATGCACCTGTGAGACCTGTGATCTTCCATGCACGTGTGAGACGGGTGATATTCCACCCACGTGTGAGACATGGAATCGCCCATGCACCTGTGAGACATGTGATCCTCCATGCATGTGTGAGACATGTGATCCTCCATGCACGTGTGAAACATATGATCTCCCATGCACGTGTGAGACGGGGGATATTCCACGCACATGTGAGACATGCGATCCTCCATGCACGTGTGAGACATGGAATCGCCCTTGCACGTGTGAGACATGTGATCTTCCATGCACGTGTGAGACATACAACCGCCCATGCACCTGTGAGACCTGTGATCTTCCATGCACGTGTGAGACATGGAATCGCCGATGCACCTGTGAGACCTGTGATCTTCCATGCACGTGTGAGACATGCAATCGCACATGCACGTGTAAGACGTTATCTTCAAAGGTGAAACCCACAGTTATTGTGTTAACAGACCAAACATCATACTCGGCCGAGTACAGGGTTTGAACCCTGTGTCAGTGATCCTCAGCTAACGGTAGGACGTAATTACAAATTAATTGCTTCATATTTGGCATATTTCTCCTTCAGCAGTCAATAGTCTTCACGAGGGTTGAACATCACACAGTCTTTATTGTTCGATGTATACAGTCATAGCAATGAAGCTCTCATTTTGTACATCACGAATGTAATGGATTTATATTTTTCACAACAAAATAATGATTTGTCAAAAATAACACCGAAACTCCGAAACCTCATTATTATTCTCAATGAACTGACCAATGTAAGATAAGAAAAAATTAATTCCTTAAAAAATCAGTTGTGGAAAAAATTGACATGGTTGTGATCAAGCGAAACCTACTACGTGGTGTTTCAGAAGGATGGTGAGGCGGCAAAGCTATCGACTTGGGTGCAGTATTCAGCCAATGAGCGTGCACTTTGTCGTGGTGCACCCTGGGAAGGTGGCGTAGTTTCCAGGCATGACGCAGATGCAGGTGTTGCAGCCGTTGTCGGCGAGGAAGTGCGCACCGTAGTGGTAGTAGACGTTCTTGTAGGGACAGTCCATAAATTCACCGCCATTTTCTTTAGGCTTATCTGTGAGGTTGAAAAAACACGTGTTTAAAAAAATACAAGTGTAAGACTGGTATATCATCATCCCGAGTCAAGAGCGTCCACTGGCCTATCTATCAAAGTCTCGAAGCTAATCACGTCTTATGTATAGCTACGGATTATATAGCTTAAAATCCTATGAATTACACATTATAATTTCCTAGTTTCACGAGTTGCGCCCCTTATGCATAACAGGATTCAATCCAATAATCCTTTGATTGACTTGATCGCTGAGGACTCGTTTCAAGAGTTGACAATGATTCGAGTTTTTAATAAATTGGGCAAACTATAAAGATAAGGTGTTCGGTTGAGTGAGTGAGTGAGTGAGTGAGTGAGTGAGTGAGTGAGGTATGTACATCCACAGTAAATCTCCCGTACTGCGGGCCGATTCAGGAGAACATATTCTCCGTGTTGTATCATTTCAGAATTCACACAGCATAAGGAACAGACATGACGTCGACGATGTGAATGTCGTGGACCATGACGTCACGACGTTCCATTTCATGTTCGTTGGTTTCTGCGGTCAGTCGGCACACAGTGGGAACAGCCCGACGCACGTGGGGAATCACTAATCCACTTATCACAAACTAGAATATATCGGCACTGTATTGCTGAGAAACCTTTAGTGGCGATTAGTTATTTCCCTATGTCTCCATAGTATGGGGGGCACAGGTGGCCCAGTCGTCTAAGGCGCCGCGATTCGCTGTGCAGAGTTGCGTCCCTTGGGCACGCCAGAAACCTATGATTGTGGGTTCGAATCCCGGTTCGCCCCGATTATGTTTCTAGGTTTTTCAGCACCATACCCGAGCTCGTGGGTTTCACCGAAGTGGTAAACTTGCCCCTTACCAAGTGGCATCACTTAGGGCTTTCCTCCCACATTAAGCTGACACGCCGCGACATTTCTCAAGGTCAAAATATTGTCTCATTGTCGCCCAATCTAAAATGTGTAAACAATGCGCGACAACGCGATAATGACCCTTCCAGGATTCTTTACTATTCTATGAATTTCGCACAGCACTTAACACTTGCGCCTAGCTCAACAAAATGCACCCTGACCTCCTCTTTTCAATTGGAAAGTTACATTTATGTCGCCTAGCTCCTATTTCAGTAAGCGACCAACGAACATCCTTAAATTGCGAAACGTATGCTGATTTGTCAGTTTTAATTTATTCTGTGTCCTGTTCAGTTAAGGATGTTCTGGAAATACTTAGAAGAAAGGAAGGAAACTTGATCTCCTAAATCTGACACTGATTAATCTCATGGTAAACGACACCTTGCACGTTGAAGATGAGTGAAGGATTTGACGGGGAAACCCGTTAATGACCCAATGCTGCTTGAAGAGAGTTATTCCACTTCCTTTACCAAAAGAGCAATTTGAACAATATGATGGCATGAATATATCACATATACATTTGTGTGTCTCAATGATTACCATCGCATTTCTTTGTTCTGGTTAAGAACAGTGTGGTAGCATAGAGGTTATAGTGTTTGCTCGTTTGCCGAAGACCCGGGTTCTTTTCCCACATTGGCATAATTTGTCAATTAGTCCGTTTGGTGCCTCCTGACGTGATATCGCTGGAATACTGCAGCATAACACTATACTCATTCATTGTTGAAGGTTTAAACAGTGCTTAGACAAAAGATAGGGATGGTGCGGATCAAATAAGTTCCAATTATGACATAAACATAACGCCGTCGGTCTCAAATGAAATGTCCGGAGAACAAATAATGAATGACACCGGCAAATCTGAAAACTCCCAAGTCAGCAACATCACAGGTGTGTCGCGACGGTGTGTGGACACGCTGGACCAATGTCACTCCCTCACTTGTTGTTACAGTTAATGAATTAAATGACAAGTTGTTCTGTGCACAGCGCACAGGTAGCAAATCAAGTGAAGCTTAACAGCGACGTTGGTCGCGGAGAGTAGATGGATGGGTGACCACCTGAGGTAGTCTGACTCTTGCTGCCGTCCTGCCCCACACTGAAACTCATGTAGCATATGTGGGGTCTCTGTAGGCAAATGTCTGTTCGTAGTGTGCCCCTGTTCACCCAGCAGTGAATGGGTACCCGATAGAATGAAATGGGAATGTCATCACCATTATGATTTATTATTATTATTATTATTATGATTTATTATTATTATTATTATTATTATTATTATTATTATTATTATTATTATTATTATTGTTGTTGTTGTTGTTGTTTGTTTATTTTTGTTTAACGCTGCACTCAGCAATATTCCAGTTATTATGATTATAATTATTAGTAGTAGTAGTGGTAGTAGTAGTAGTAGTAGTAGTAGTAGTAGTAGTAGTAGTAGTAGCAGTAGTAGTAGTATATTATTATTATACTGAAATATTAATACAATTAGCTGTCACTCTCTCGTCCCTCGTTGACTCAGTCACAGCACACAGTAACGCTCGACCTACCGAAGCCGGTGTTCTTGCAGGGCTTGTACGTGCACATCATGCCGCTGACGGTGCAGTTGCAGTTGTTGCAGTGGTCCTGTGCCTGCCAGGCCTCCCCAACACGATGAAACTGATATCCATATCGGCACAGAGGATCCCCAGGTTTCCCAAGGAGATCTGAATGACATTCAAAAAGTCCATTTAAAACTAAATGTTTTAGATGGAAAATTCAGAATTCTCATAATCCACAAAATAATGGTAAGCTATGTTTGAGAAATGGGGGAATTATAACCCCTGTGTCAGGCCTAGCAGAAGCTACTCCGCCTGTGTGCATTGTGCAGACATTTACAAATATTTCTGACCCACCAGGGGAAAAGGGATCTTATTGGCGAGAGAAAACAATTGTGCTGTGACGTCATAAAGACGTTTGACGTCAACTTACTTCAGTGAAGATCGCCACGTGTGCGGACAATTCAAAATATTTTATTTATCTCTCGTTAGTTCCAATGTAATAAAAACATTATTTAAAAAAACTTTCAGCATACATGTCTACTTTCAATTTGTCAGACATTATGTATCATAAACAGTTATAAGTCGGAAAATGGGACCAAATGTTTTATGCCTTGTGTATCTGTAATAAATATGAATTGAAGCTTGTGAATGTAGTTTTGTGTTCCTAAGATACTGTAGTTTTAAAATATAATAAAAAGTCAAAATGTGATTTTTCACCCATGCGGTCCCTAATCTCATGGTTGGTCACATTGTATGATACAGGCGATATGTCTTGAACTGTGTAAAGTGAGAAATTACAAAACTTGTGAAATGAGGGAATATAACAGACTAAACGTTGATAATGGTTCTACTTTTAATAAATTGGGCGAACTAGATAGAAATGGCGTTCAGTTGCTTGTTTTCATTCGTTGAGTGAGAGTACATAATGCTGCTTCAACCCCCTTTATATAAGAATTATACTGCACTAGACTGTTTTGAGTCTAGGGTCTCGTCAAGGTTCACTCGGCAGTCTGCGATCCGTTACGCTTTCACAAATAGCCCAGATCCGTATGACTCATGGTTGTAAATAATACAATTCAACATACTTGAAATTCCTCACTCAAGTCCCAGTACTTAAGCCTATCAACGCCGCCCTAGCTAGTATGCAGTAACTATAGACCATCAAAGTAGGCCTCATATACAGCGACATAATGTGGACACAGAAGACTCGCGGAGAACTTAAGTCTGAGCGGTTTAGTGAGTGAGAGAGTGGGCAGAAACGGGCTTCATATATTGTACTGATGTATGTTAGGCTACGCATGCTAGGGACGACTTGTTTGACAAATAATATGTCTTTTCATGCACAGGAAACAGCACAGCGCAATGGACATCGTTGATAGTGTTACAGCGCCAGGCTGGACGGGAGATCACAACGACTGTCTTGTCATCTCTTCTGTGTGTCAACAGCATCAGGGTGATATACATGTTACACCCAACAGCATCAGGGTGATATTCAGGTAACACCCAACAGCATCAGGGTGAAATACACGTTACCCCCAACAGTATCAGGGCGATATACATGTTACACCCAACAGCATCGGGGTGAAATACATGTTACACCCAACAGCATCAGGGTGAAATACAGGTTACAACCAACAGCATCAGGGTGATACACACATTATAGCCAACAGTATCAGGGTGATATACATGTTACACCCAACAGCATCAGGGTGAAATACAGGTTACACCCAACAGCATCAGGGTGATATACATGTTACACCCAACAGCATCAGGGGGATATACACGTTACACTCAACAGCATCAGGGTGATATACACGTTACACCTAACAGCATCAGGGTGATATACACGTTACACCCAACAGCATCAGGGTGATATTCACGTTACACCCAACAGTATCAGGGTGATATTCACGTTACACCCAACAGTATCAGGGTGATATTCACGTCACACCCAACAGTATCAGGGTGATATTCACGTTACACCCAACAGTATCAGGGTGATATTCACGTCACACCAAACAGTATCAGGGTGATATTCACGTTACACCAAACAGTATCAGGGTGATATTCACGTTACACCACAGAGTATCAGGGTGATATTCACGTCACACCACAGAGTATCAGGGTGATATTAACGTCACACCAAACAGTATCAGGGTGATAATCACGTTACACTCAACAGTATCAGGGTGATATTCACGTTACACCACAGAGTATCAGGGTGATATTAACGTCACACCAAACAGTATCATGGTGATATTCACGTCACACCCAACAGTATCAGGGTGATATTCACGTTACACCACAGAGTATCAGGGTGATATTAACGTCACACCAAACAGTATCAGGGTGATAATCACGTTACACTCAACAGTATCAGGGTGATATTCACGTTACACCACAGAGTATCAGGGTGATATTAACGTCACACCAAACAGTATCATGGTGATATTCACGTCACACCCAACAGTATCAGGGTGATATTCACGTTACACCACAGAGTATCAGGGTGATATTCACGTCACACCAAACAGTATCATGGTGATATTCACGTTACACCCAACAGCATCAGGGTGATATACACGTTACACCCAACAGCATCAGGGTGATATACACGTTACACCACAGAGTATCAGTGGAATATGCATAAGGGACACACGTTACACTAATGCTGCAATAGAGTCACGCTGAGACTGCACGTGATATAAACTACTACCACTATTTTGAGAGGCCTGACAATTCGGGCTACCAGTCAGTAATCGATCACGACCAACAAGTGACTTGGCAGTAAATGTTCCCTCTCGAACGCCACATTATGGTTTATGGTCATTCCTTGGGAGGGCGACAAATAAGGACTAAGTAGGCCACTGTTTTCACTGAACCTATCCAAACAACATCTCCATGGACTAACGAGGCTATGTTGTTATGCTATTCATATCATTATTAATTAGAATATACCAACGCTTATACATACAACCGTCAGGGTCATGAGACAATTAATTTACAAACTGTATCATATGGCAGACATGTCGAATCACCACTGTCACGGGTAATACACACATTACAACACAGCTGTAATATTTGATACACACGTTACATCCCAACTGTAACACGAGACAAACACGTCACAAACCCAACTGTAACATGAAGCAAACACGTCATAAACCTACTGTATCATGAGACAAACACAACATAACCCTACTGTATCATGAGACAAATACTTGACAACCCGACTGTAACATGAGATAAATACTTGACAACGCTACTGTAAAATGGGACAAATACGCAACAACCCTACTGTAACATGAGACAAATACGCAACAACCCTACTGTAACATGGGAGAAACACGTCACAACCCTACTGTAACATGGGAGAAACACGTCACAACCCTACTGTAACATGAGACAAACACGTCACAACCCTACTGTAACATGAGACAAACACGTCACAACCCTACTGTAACATGGGACAAACACGTCACAACCCTACTGTAACATTGGACAAACACGTCACAACCCTACTGTAACATGGGACAAACAAGTCACAACCCTACTTTAACATTGGACAAACACGTCACAACCCCACTGTAACATGAGACAAACACTTGACAACCCTACTGTAACATGGGACAAACACTTGACAACCCTACTGTAACATGGGACAATCACGTGACAACCCTACTGTAACATGAGACAAACACGTCACAACCCTACTGTAACATGGGACAATCACGTGACAACCCTACTGTAACATGGGACAAACACGTCACAACCCTACTGTAACATGAGACAAACACGTCACAACCCTACTGTAACATGAGACAAACACGTCACAACCCTACTGTAACATGTGACAAACACGTGACAACCCTACTGTAACATGAGACAAACACGTCACAACCCTACTGTAACATGAGACAAACACGTGACAACCCTACTGTAACATGAGACAAACAAGTCACAACCCTACTGTAACATGAGACAAACACGTGACAACCTTACTGTAACATCAGACAAACATGTCACAACCCTACTGTAACATGAGACAAACACGTGACAACCCTACTGTAACATTAGACAAACAAGTCACTACCCTACTGTAACATGAGACAAACACGTGACAACCCTACTGTAACATTAGACAAACACGTCACAACCCTACTGTAACATGAGACAAACACTTGACAACCTTACTGTAACATAAGACAAACATGTCACAACCCTACTGTAACATGGGAGAAACACGTCACAACCCTACTGTAACATGAGACAAACACGTCACAACCCCACTGTAACATGGGACAAACACGTGACAACCCTACTGTAACATGGGACAAACACGTCACAACCCTACTGTAACATGAGACAAACACGTCACAACCCTACTGTAACATTGGACAAACACGTCACAACCCTACTGTAACATGGGACAAACACGTCACAACCTTACTGTAACATGGGACAAACAAGTCACAACCCTACTGTAACATGAGACAAACACGTCACAACCCTACTGTAACATGAGACAAACACGTCACAACCCTACTGTAACATGGGACAAACACGTCACAACCCTACTGTAACATGGGACAAACATGTCACAACCCTACTGTAACATGGGACAAACACGTCACAACCCTACTGTAACATGGGACAAACACGTCACAACCCTACTGTAACATGAGACAAACACGTCACAACCCTACTGTAACATGGGACAAACACGTCACAACCCTACTGTAACATGGGACAAACACGTCACAACCCTACTGTAACATGGGACAAACACGTCACAACCCTACTGTAACATGGGACAAACACGTCACAACCCTACTGTAACATGGGACAAACACGTCACAACCCTACTGTAACATGGGACAAACACGCAACAACCCTACTGTAACATGGGACAAACACGTCACAACCCTACTGTAACATGAGACAAACACGTCACAACCCCACTGTAACATGGGACAAACACGTCACAACCCTACTGTAACATGGGACAAACACGTCACAACCCTACTGTAACATGAGACAAACACGTCACAACCCTACTGTAACATGGGACAAACACGTCACAACCCTACTGTAACATTGGACAAACACGTCACAACCCTACTGTAACATAAGACAAACATGTCACAACCCTACTGTAACATGGG